GGCAGTTTGTATAGGCCCTAAGTGTTCAAGGGTTTGCCTGTTCTGCACAATTAACGTGTTTTCTCCTCCTACAATGGGATTTCCTCAAAGATAAGTGCCTCAGCAATCAGACTTGAAAATTGAGTCTGCATTTACCTTCTAATGATGAATCACAATGCACAGCACACTAAATACAAGATACCAAGATGAGGAAAATAATAATAATAAATAATAATAATAATTTTTATTTATAGCCCGCCCCTCTGCTTAGCAATCCCAAGTGTAATGATAAACAGATGTCTTTCATCACTTGGCAGAGCATTGATGCATAAAATGTGATGAACATATCATCTAATTTGACCCAAAGAGTTGGGGCTGAACCATGGCAACACAGAACTAAACTAGCTATGCTATGTTTCTGGTAACAAGCACTAGGCATCTGAAGCAGAAGAAATAAAAAGAGGTGAGAAAACCACTGCAGTATCTATTAAATCAGGAATAGCATCACCAGCCTGTCACTATAGCTTCGAAAAAGCTCTTACCATCCACAGGCTGCTGCTCCAGGTTGATGTAGGTAAGATGGGCAGTGAGTCCCAGGGAAAATCCATTGGCACAGGCTTTTATATGTGAACTCTGTAGAGGAAGGGCAGTCCAGGTGGGCAGGCAGTACAAACCTGGCATGGTCTTCAGGTGGAACTAGCAAGTCCCACTACCTCAAGCTAAGGAGAGAAAAGACAAGGAGAAAATGCTGATAGAGCTAAATCAGTGGAGAAGACAGGAATGGAAACTAGTGTGGAGAAGTTATTTGGGAAGCAAAAGAAGGCATTATGATGCTGAAACTCTATTATCCACTAATATAGCATTGAATGTTTTTGTATAAAAAGGGAAAAGGAAAAAAGGACCAATGAAGCTACATGCTACAGAGAGCCAGTATAGCGTAGTGGTCTAAGTGATGGACTATGACTCTGGAGACCAGGGTTCAATTCCTTGCTCACTCACTTGGTGACTTAGGGCAAGTCACACTCTCTCAGCCTCAGGGGAAGGCCATGGCAAAACCACCTCTGAACAAATCTGGCCAAGAAAACCCCAGCCTTGGGGTTTCTACAAGTCAGAAACGACTTGAAGAACACAACAACAAACGAAGCTACATGACTCCTATCTCCTTCCTTCTTTTTATTCTGAACCAGAATGCCCACATCTTTGTTTTTGTGTGCCTTCAGGTAATTTCCAACTTATCACAGAGTTTTCTTTGCAACCTTTGTTCAATGAGGGGTTTTGCCTTTCCCTTAGGCTGAGAGAGTGTGACTTGCCCTTGTCACCCAGTAAATTTCCAAAGCCATGCAGAGATTCGAACCCTGGTCTCCAGAGCCATAGTCCAATGCTCTAATCACTACACCACAATGACTCTTCTGCCCACAGCTTTTTTTATGAAAACGGTAACTTGGTAAATCAACAACACTTACACAACTCGTGTAGATTCAATGGTCAACCCTAGTTGGGAGTAATGATAGATTTCAGGTCACAGTCTCCAAAAATGTCAGCAAGAATGAACATACATGCTTCAACACACTTTATGAAAATGCATCAGTTTGCGCGGATTGCTTTGATCCATGTTTCAAGCCAAATTAGAAAATTCAGGGTCCCATAGAAGGCACCCATAACAGTGAAAGTCAAATCATAGTGCTATAACTGGGTTGTGTGGAAATGCTCCTGAGCTGGGCTGTCTTCTATGATCCAAGATGTTGGCCGTGCTCTGATTGCTTGGACTTTTGCATTTTCTTGCACAATGACCTTCCATCAGATTTATTATTGTTAAGTATTAACACCCTGGCAAATACCATGCTTATCTTTTAAATATCTTACTTACTCTTTGTTCTTTTTCCCTCCATGCAAGCGAAAGAACTAGACAAGATCCTAAAATGCAAAGATATACAACTGAGCACCAAAGTTAGAATTGTACAAGCCAATGTATTTCCCATCACCATGTACACATGTGAGAGCTGGACAGCGAAGAAAGTGGGTAAGAAGAAAATCAATTCATTTGAGATAATGTGGTGCTGGAGAATAGTGCTGAGGATACTACCACAAGCAGCCAAAAAGACAAACAAATGGGTTCTAAAACAGATCAAGCCTAAAATACCTCTAGAAGCCAAGATGATTAAATTGAGGCGGTCATATCTTGACCACATCACGAGAAGGAATGACTCACTGGAAAAGACAATAATTCTAGGAAAGGTAGAAGGTAGTAGAAAGAGAGGAAGGCCGCATGACAGATGGATGGTCTCAATTAGGGAGGTCACAAGTATAATAATAATAATAATAATAATAATAATAATAATAATAATAATAATAATAATAATAAAAACATTTTATTTAAGTATGAGTTTGAGTTTGCAAGAACTAATCAGAGCAGCGGAGGACAAGGAGTCTTGGAGATGTCTCATCCAAAGGGTCACCATGAGTCGAGGCTGCAGTGGGGGCTAGCTAAAAACAAATGGGAATAAATAAGCAATACTACTAAATGAATGAATGAATACAAATGAGTCCTAGAGCAAATCATGCCTGAACTCTCCCTAGAAGCCAAGATGACTAAACTGAGACTAGTATTTTGGACATACCATGAGAAGATATGACCTTCTAGAAAAGACAATAATGCTCGGTAA